GAGGTGTTCCTGCTGGCCGCGTGACAGGCTTGCCGGCCCACCTCGGCCAGCTGCCTTAGCTCTGGGCCTGCAAAGTGGGGGATAGCGACTAATATTTTCCAAAGCATCCAGGTGATTTAGGAGCCCACAACTCACCTTAAAGCGGATTTGATGCATTTGGAAAATGTTACCCTGTTAAACTTGGCCCGAAGGGATATAGCATGAGCTAATTTATGTTTGTAAGACAGCCTGGGGTCTTGGCTTCCTATGATGTGCGTATGTTGCACTCTTCTCTCCATGCAGAGGCAAACAAGATCCATTCCTGTGGTTGCTTCATCAGACAGTCAGGCTGTACTGGATCTACATCTGCTGATAAGGAGGCAACTTCTAGATAAATCATACAGGCGTATCTCTGAACGCTAGAAGTAAGAACTTCTGGCTCCAATAACAAAAGCCTTGGCAACCTAAGGGAGGCCTCCTATTCTCCTGGTAACGATCAATCCGTCACCTTTTCTGTAGCGCTGGTGAGCACGGGTGCACCACGGGCACTTGGGCAGCTGGTAGGTCTGGCAAGAGTGGCCGAAGGCAGCAGACCCAGCAGGGAAGGGGCTGCCTTGCCAGCTGCAAGGAGAGCACTTGGGCTCCAACTGGTCCATTCTGGTGCCAAGGCGGCCCCTCTGCAGTCCCTCCCCGTAATGACTGAAGAGATGTGGTGAAGTATGTGGAAGTGTCTAGCAGGGAGCGTTGACACTGTGGCCCAGGTGGGGCTTGTAGGATGTAACAACAGGCAGAGAGATGCGCAGGACGTGCTTTATCTTGTTTTTTAAAAAAATTTTCCTATTGCAGTTTGGAAGTAGTGGCTGTGTCTGAGGTGACCAGCATGTGCTCATGGAGGTCTTTGTGGCATCTAATTTCCCTCCTCTCCTTGCAGAAAATTGAGTCAAAATGTATCTTGCTGCATTTTCTAGTTGGGTTTTTAGGTCTTAGCTTAGTCATTAAGATTTGTGGGTCTTAGCTGGTCATTGAGATTTGTGTGGCTTGGGTACACTTCTTCTCCATGAGTTCTTTAATAAAACAAACTGGGTGGAGAAAAGGGGGTATGAAAAGGGGTGAGAGAGGCTGAGTGGCTTCTCCACGGGTGTCCGAGCTGAATGCCAAGTGAGGGAGAAAGGAGTAGGATTCAGAAACAAATAAGGATAGAGAAAATGATAAATAAGAGAGAAAGCAAAAGATTCCAAAGAATATTGCCAATGGTTTTAAATTTGCATTTGGACCGTCATTTTTTTACACATTTGAGGAGGAGGAAGAAAATGTTGAAGGGAGGTTTTGGTTACTGTTATATCTTGATTATACACCAAGCTAAATCATCCTGATTGCTGTGGTCTAGTGATTAGAGTGTAAAAGAGTTTATCCAAAATATGCTTCTCCTTAGGATTGTGAAGGACTTGCTGGGTGGTTCTGAGTGAGTTACTTTACCTCGTTGTGCCTTATTTTCCTGATCTGTGAAACAGAGATATTAATGCTTATTTTTGTGAAGGCAGTCTGAGAAACTTAAATGGAAACTTCTGTATAAATGTCAAATATCATTACTATTGTTCTTAAACTAATCCATTGTAGTCAACTGTTTTTATAGTTTTTATAAAAGCAAATACAATGGGAACTACATAATTGGCTGCCAAACAATGTTTTTTCAATTACAAGAAGACAAAAAGTGTCTGAAAAATGCAACAGTGTGTTGCCATTTTTCATCAGTTGCAAAAAAAAATTCTGCTAGAAACATACTATACCATACCGTAGTAGGTAATAAAGTTATTCTGAAATAATTAAGAAGCATTGATCAGAGGCAGCAGATCTGCATGAGTTTTTGTTACACGTGTCGTTCTCTCCTTTCCTGTTACAATCAAAAGCTTTTCAATTATTGTTGAGCAAATCAGAGGAAGAGTGAAAAGGTGAAATTTTATTGTATATTTACATCTTTACCAGTGCCTGGGTGATGAATTTTCCAAAACCTGATTTTAATAATCTGTGGTTGAATAGTTTGCAATGTCTTGCTTTACACACCTTTGGAAGCAGTGTGCAGCATAAACACAGTCCTCCCCTCTGTGGGGTGGTGAATATTAACCTTCTTTTAATGTGCTGCCATTAGAATAATGTGTAACTAAATTGGGAGAAAGTGAGTTCTATTACTATCCACTTTTGTCTAAATCCTGTTTATCTGAAAGGTTGATTTGGGACTGCCAAATCACCTGCAGGGTGAGTAGTTGCAGTGACTCCATCGGGGGTCGCGTTTAGAAGCTCTTTCCTCCACCACTCACCAAAGGTGTGTCATGCTGGCGGGATGCTCCTAATCCTGGACACTGATTGTGCTCGTAAAACTGAATGTTTGCCAGGCTCATTTATTCTTAATTGTCCTGACAGGAGCGTGATTTAGCTCATGTAACAGTGTTTACTTTGTAATGGAAGGAGGGGAATATATTTTACAACAGAGTGATATTGGTCATAGATCGTAAATCTAACTGATTTAGCAAAAAAAATATATATATGTTTTGGCCTTAGTATAAAACCCTAGAATAGGTAACTTGTGACCTGTCTCATCAGCGTCAGTAATGCTGCCTTCAAGGACTGTCAAATTAAGATAATTTTGTTGTTGCCGTAAGAGGACCTAGTACCTGCAAAACATACTTTGAGGCTGACAGTGCAGAGCAGTCCTGTGTGTCTGCGGCCGTTGGGGGCTGCAGTGCGACTACCGGCTCTTTGAAGCTCCTTCCTCCACCACTCAGCACAATCTCGTTTTCTGCAGCTCATCTTCAACCACCTGCCTCTTATCTATGGGCATGTTCCCTCTGCGCCCCAGGCCTGCCCAGTGTCGGGTGTTACTCTATATGCCGAGCGCGATGGGTAGAGCTGTGTGACGTCCAGATGCTCACGGCTTGATAACATGAGGGACACAGGGCTGGTATTCAAATAATTATACCGTGGCAAGAAAAGTCTCGGATTGCTTTCCAGGGAAGCGAAGTCCATTCAGGAGAAAAGCTTTAATGTCATTCAGCAATGTATTGGCCTTTAAGTGCAGTTTCACAAAGGAATTGGGAGCCGGTTTTGAGAAGGGCTTTTTGTTTGTTTGTTTTTTATTCTGTAGTTCTAAGGGCGCTGGTGCGGTCTGATCTTCAGTTGCTTGTTCACAACGGTCCTACAAATGACTCGGTCAGCTGCAGTGAGTACATGAAGATTTGGGGAGAGGAACAATTATTCTTTTTTCAAAAATAAATTTAATATAGTGCATCTTAAAAGTGTAATTTTTTTATTCTGATAGGGCAAAATTAACACTAATGAAAATTTACTTTCATTACTAAATGAAAAAAATCACATTTTAATATGTAAAAAGTGCTGGATTTGCATTTTATCTGGGAGCAGTCACCATGAAATTTTATTCTTGGAAATGTGGGGCTTCTCATCCTCTTGGTGAAGATAAGAAAAATTTTTATGTGTGGCAGCATTGTAAGCAAGACTACAATTGTATTTTTGCAAGATACACACAATAAAACCCTAACTGGCTATACCCTTCCTCAGAAAACATTCCTTTAGTTACGTTGTTAGGTAGTGCAAATGATCTTTTCCTTCTAAATAAGAGGAATGAGGATGTACACACGCACAATACATGCCTTGTTTTATCATTTACAGAATTATGAGTTGTTGGATAGTTGCACTTCTTGTACTTGTTAATATATATTTTTTAAATGTGATAAATGTATAAATAGTTTTAAGATTTTTAAGCAAAATGGTCACTGCAACTGTGCATCAGCTGAGAGCCAAGCCTTCTGAAAGGGCAAGATGAAGCTGCCGACATTCAAACAAAGGAACGACAGAAAACTCTTCTGGAAGAAGGCAACTGCAAATGTGTTAAAATGAGTTGACTCAACCCCAGTCTTGTCTCTTGAGCAGATCTGTGAGGTTGCCTATTGATTTGGGGCAAAGTGAAGACAGAAAACTGTTCATCTGGAAGAGGGCAACCGAAAATATGTTAAAACGAGTTGACAGAACCTCAGCCTTGTGTCTCTTGAGCAGATCTCTGAGGTTGCCTACTGATTTTGGGGAGATCAAGCCCACCATTGCTTTTCTGACTGCAGCACTAGAACTTTCACGTGTTTCTCTGGCCATTTGGGGTGGCCCAAGGACAAGTTTTGCCTTGCCAGTTGGATGACGTTCTCCCAGTTCTATCAGAACAGATTAAAGGAATCCCCTGCTCCCCCCACAAAAAAGAACAGACCAAGACAATGGGTAAACTATGATGTAAAGTTTATATACAAGAATATAACATTTATCTGGAGTATTTACAAGGTTAATTAAAGCAATATTTTACAACTCTTCCAGGTTAACCAATAGGTATATTACAAGTAGGCTACAGATAGTTTAATTTGTAAAACTGAAAAATGAAAGTTGTATTCAGATCAACCAGCTCCAAAACTTGTTCCTTTCTCTGAGAGGGAAGTGGAGATTTCAGACACGTGGAGGAAAAATAAAAAAAAAAAAGATGGGCGAATGGTTAATATGCTCTTAACAGTGCCTATGTATCACATGCAAGAGTCGTAACATGATCTTTATAGTGTTAATATAGATGGCAAGCCCTTTCACATCAATGAAAGTCATATCCAGTGTGACAGGCCAGTCACACACATGACTGTCTTTGCATTCATACTTTTTGCACAACAAACATGCATGTATACAGAGAAGTAGCAATATAAACTGACCAGCATTACCAAAATGAAGAGGGAAAAACTTCAAAGTCACACTTGCACTCAAAAAAAAAAAAAAAAAAAAAAAAGAGAAAAAAAAAAAAACAGCTTTAAGCGAGATACTTTAATCCCAAAAATAGTCATGATTTTTTATTACACTTTAACCTATGTACAAAAATAGCGGCCTCCCCTCAGGGAATGTTTGTGGGTCTCCCGCCCGCTGCACCTTGAGGCTCGGAGGGGATGGGGCAAGAGGAAGAGGGCACAGGGGATGGATGTGGCGCTCAGGCTGGAGGCGGCTGCTGGATGTGGTAGGAGCAGAGGCAACTAACACTGCAGTTTGCGGATGCTGCGGGAGAAGCGCTTGAAAGCCCGCTGCCCTTTCTGCCACCGCTTCAGCGAGGTGATCACCAGCTCCCCGGCTTGCTTCTGCCCCATCACCAGGTACGGCACGTTGATGTCATTCATCTCGTCGCAGGTACACTGGAGGCCGCCTTTGAGCCAAAGCACAATCTTCCTCAGATCCCTTTCCGTCAGCCCGTTCAGCTTGTAGATGGTTTTGCTCTTTGTTTCGGGGGTGATCTTGGTATCCCCATTGATGTAGGCAATCTCCTTCACTTTTATCTTCAGGGCTACCAGAGCGAGGGGAGGGGGAAGCGGGACACGGGAGAGAGCCGGAGAGGTTTTTTCCCATTAGTGCACATAAAGAGGACCTGGGGAGGGAGGTGCTCTATTGCTAATTAAACTGTCAGGGCTGACAGAAGAGGCAGCAGGTGGCTCCATTTCTAAAGCCACAAAGGGCATGCAAGTCATTTTGGTTTGAATCAACCTCAGGGTCTGAGAGGTTTTGGACTTCTTTTCTTTGTTCCCCTCCCCCTTTTCCTTCCTTTCTAAATTAATATTTTCTCCAGCTTTTTTTATTCTCCTGTTTGCAAACAGAGCGAGGGCAGGTTTGCTGCAGTAAGCAGGCACTCTTTTTTTGTTTTGTTTTGTTTTTCCCCCCCTCTCTGGAATAGGAGAGTCTTCCTGAAACTCTAGAATTTAAAGGGGAGTTGGGAAGGCAAGTACCTAAACCTAATCTGAAACCTGATCTCTGCTGTGGCTGAAAACTTTTAAACTTAATTTATTGGGCTGGAGAGGATTTTAGGCAAACCTGTAAGGAAATGATATTTCACATGTATTGTTTTTTTGAAAGAATAGATCCCATGGAGAGCAAATTGGTCCAACAGCTGCATTTGATTTGGGAAAATAACTCGGAGAGGGATACAGGGCTCTTTAAGGATCTATGGGGCATGTTTAGCTTTGGAAGGATTTATCCCGGGTGTAATTTGCCAGGTCAAAGCTATTGGTTGTTTTAGCAGTTATGTCCCACAGTCATGGTTTCATTTTTTTTCCCCTTTGGTAAGAAAAGCTTTTGAATTATTATAGCTATTTAAACTACAAATCTGTCTGCAGGTATAAACACTGACCTCTTAGAAAGGGATTCCCCTCCTTATTCCCCTTTTCTCTTGAAATGCTAATGTGTGGATAATGCGCCGCTCAGTTGTCTGTGTTCAAGGGTCTTTCTTGTCCTCCTCTAACCCCAGAGCTTCACATTATGTTTATATCCCCAATTGTCTGTGCATTACCTTCTCTGTCAAGTGATATATAGAGCTTCACTCCTAATCTGTAGAGAAAGTCTTTCTTCCTTGCTATACATGAGATCGGTCATGCAGCTTTTACTGAGACGTCTAAATGAAGCTTTGCTGGGCTGCTCCCCAGGCAATGCTCTGGATGAGAGATGCCTCTTTCATTTTACTTTCTACTTGGACTTGCCTGCACCATGCACATAAATGAGTACAACATCAGAAAAGCAGAAAACTTACTTGCAGAAAGGCAGCAAACAGACTCTAAAAGGACCACTTTCTACTCTGAGCGGGTATGTTGCGTTTTGTGACTGATAGGATGGATGGGTCTGTCTGCAGCTAGGACAAAGCCCTGCCTTTTTCCAGGCACATCTCCCACAGACTCCAGAGGGAGTTACATGAGTTGTGGTAGGAGAAGACCCTCAGCCCTTGAGCTTTAATCGAGAGTCTGTGCTTGCACTTACCAAAGTCGTTCTTGCAGAGGTTTTCCACAATGTCATTATCATCTTCGTTTTTGTTTTTGCAGGCATCGCAGACCTTGGGCGCTGGAAAGGCAAGACACGGCCCTCGTGAGGCTCAGGGAGAAGGGATCAGCAGGTGGCGTTGGGGACCCGGTGGGGGACGCATGTTCCCATCCCTCCGAGGACTGTGTGGCGCCTCCTGCAAGGCGCTGCCCCGACAGCCTTACCTTGCTCTGGAGCCGTTGCTGGGGGCTGAGAGGGGATAAGTGCTTTCAAGGTAACACAGGGAGTGCTTGAACCCAAACTTTTTTTTTTTTTTTTTAAAAAAAACGGGAATAATAAAGGGAGGAAGGTAAAATATGGGGGGAGGGAGAGGAACAAGATCAGAAACAGCCCTATGATCTTGGCAAAGGTCTGTGTTATTGTTGTCCCCATCTGGGGAGAAACCCTGGGCTGGTCTGAGCCCCACACTGGACAGGACGGACGCCCCTCACCGCAGTGTCGGGGTGGCACGGGGGAGCGGGGGGTCTCCCTCTTACCTTCCCTGGTGACCGGCAGGATGTGGTCGCTGCTGGCCAGGGGGATGCAGAGGTGGGAAAGCTGCTGCAGTCCAGCATGTCGGGCCAGGGGAAGCCGAAGGCGGACATGACCGGCGCACAGCTCTCCTTCACCTCCTCGCAGAGCGAGTGGCACGGCTGGATGATCTCGTCGAGGTCGTCGATGCAGACGGGGGCGAAGAGGGAGCAGAGGAACTTCCTGGTGTCGGGGTGGCACTGCTTCTGCACGAGCGGGATCCAGGTGGAGGCCTGCTCCAGCACCTCCTGCACCGTCTCGTGGCCCAGCAGGTTGGGCAGCCGCATGCTCTGGTACTCGATGCCGCGGCACAGCAGCATGGGCGCGGGGATGGGCTTGCAGTTGGAGCGCTTGTAGGAGAAGTCGGGCTCTCCGAAGGGGAAGAGCCCCGCGGCGGAGCCGCAGCACAGCGCGGCGAGCAGGAGCAGCAGCTGCAGCGGGGCGCGCGGGCGGCGC